TAATATCTAGTAATAGGATCTACGTAGTAGGATAGATATCTAGTCCTAGCTAGAGATAGCGGTTAATAGATTAGATCCTAATAGATTAATTCGAAAGGCCTAGTAAATTCGATCGAACGCCGAGAGATCTACTACTTAGCCTTAGAAATCTTATAAACCTTATAGATAGTCGATTCGGAGGTTACTATATCGATTTCGATATTAGCTAAGTAATTAGTAAGATAAGATAGGATCTCTTAATTTATATAACCTAGGCGCCGGTACTAGAGGTTAATTAATCCTTTTACCCGCTTTAGCGTATAAGAAGATAGACCGAATTAGCCAAAATCGTTAGATAGGTCGATATCTAATACGTTAGGAATTACTAAGATTTAATTAGCTAAATTAGTAAGCGATTTAATAGCTATACTATTAGCGGTCGATTAATCCTATTTAATTAGATAAAGACTAGATTTATTATTTAATTAGTAAATAGGTTAGCTATTTAAGTCTTATAATAAGCTATCTTTTCCTTATAGAAATAGATCTCTATTAGTAGCTTTCTTAGTAGATAGGAGATTTAGATAGAAACTAGGTACGTATACTATATTAATTAGGGTAATTTTAGTCCTATCTAGGCTATCTATAGGCCGGAAGCTCGTCTTTCTAAAGCCTAGTATAGCCGTTTCGGTATTTCTAAGTCTTATAGAGGAAGCTACCGACTAATAGTCGGTTAAAAGGTTAAGATTATTATAGATATATAGAGTTAATCTAGTATTAAAATACTATATATCGTTTACTAGTTAATTAGTATAAATCGAATTATATATACGATTAGCCTAAAGAAGAGAGGAAACTTTCTATTTTAGGATATATATACTAAACATAGCCCTAGTAGATTCTTCTTTATCTAATTTAGCCGCTAGCTAATTTAAATCGGTTCGATTTAATTAATATCTAGCGATCGCGCGCTTATAGGCCTTCTTAAAAAATAAGCTTCTATATATATTCTTAAATCGATCTTCTACTATAGGATCTAGCTTCTAATTTAGTGATCTAATAGAAGGATTAATATATATATATATTTATCGAATTAATAATAGCTATTATCTAGGCTACTTTCGTATAGGTAAAGGCGCTTCTAGCTATAAGATCTTCTAGATTAGCTAGGATTAATAGGCGAATTACCGCTATTAGCCCCTTCTATCTTAGTTCTATTAGGATTTCTACCCTAGAAGGTAGTCCTATAGGCGAATCTACCCTAGTAGATTAGCGGGGATAGCCGAATCTATTCCGAATAGAGATTAATAAGGGCGGGAAACTCTAGTAGTTTACTAGCTAAATAGATACCGCTTTACTTATAAATACGATTTATCTAAATCGTATAGAAGCTAGGTAATAGAGGTATAATAGCCTCTAAGAATTTATATAAGATCCTCTTACTATCGTTAAATTTAGTTAGGCCGATTTCTTTAGCTTCTATATAGTATACTAGCTACTTCTAGACCTATAAGTCGTAATTAGATCTAGGCGGCGCTTACGTACATAGATTAGACTAAGTTTTCGAGATCTAACGCTTCCGGGATAAATTAGTAGACGTATATATTAGCCGAAATATATCGATTATATTATATAGAGTAGTCTAAGATAGGATTAATCGCTTATTATTAGTCGATACTAAATTACGAATTCCTTATTTTAGACGATTAACTCCTTTCTAATAGTAACGGAAGCGAGCTAGCTAATAATTATATCCGCGAGAGATAAGATTATATCTCGTAAGCGCGTCTCCGGTTAGATTAGGAAGATCCGTTATATTAATTTTAGGATAGTTAGGTTCTAGTAGGGGCTTTCGGAGGCTTTCGGTTAGCACTTTAGGATTAATATAATCCTATAGTCCCTACGTAACCGCTTAGTCTTTAATAGCTATATACTATTAGATCTAATCGGTAGAGGTCTTAAGATAAAAGACTAGCTAGTTAGTTTCTGTTACCATAATAATGATTTTCGATAAGAAATAAGATAAGAGTGAAAGATATCTCGATAGAAAGTAAAGATTAAGATTAATTCAACTAGTTAAGGCGTAGCTAATCAGGTTTAGCCGAACGAAGCCTTCCGGTTAATCAAAAGTAAGAATTAATAGATACGATCCGATCGGTAAAGGCGTAGCTAATCAGGTTTAGCCGAACGAAGCCTTCCGATTCTTCTAAAGTATCTATTTAGTTAGAGCGATCGGGCTTATAACTAACAGAAGTTCTAGTGCATCCGATCGGGTCCGAGAGGATAGGATCCACATAGAACCTTAGGATAACTAATCAAGATAGAAGTTCTTCTTCTTACTAGGACTATAGATCGTTAAGGGTCCTCCGATGCATAAGATCTTCTCTAAGTATAAGAGGGTCAAACAAGATCAATAAGATAAATTAAAGAGAGTATTGATTCTAAAGGAAAGGATATTAAGTCTGAACTGCTAAACTAGTGAACGAATGGATGTTTAAATACATGATAAATACATGATTAGGACAGTTTAGACAGTTAAATCTAGACCGAATCGTTGATCTAATCGATGATCCGATCATACATCGATGATACGATCATATATTGATGATCTAATGAATCGATAGATTAGGAAGTTGTTGGATGTTAGTATCCGTGGCCAGATTGGCCGATTTCTCATATGAAACTCTCTGTTGAAGAGATATGGTTTTTCCCCGGAGAAAGGATAGGAAAAACGATGGTCCGGTCCGGGCGGGCCGCATGGTCAACCAACTTCATATGGCCACACACGCTCACATAGGCTGATAAGTCCTTTAGATATTAGAGCTTCTCGATAGTAGCCTATATAGTTATAAGGCTTTTATTAAGATCTAAAGAGGTTATTTAGATATTAAGAGGTACTTTATCCTTAAGAGTAGTTAGTTTATTAAGATCTCGAGAGATATTTAAAGTTCTTTCGGTAGAGGAAGTAGAATAAGTAATAGGTACTATCTCTTCTAGATAGTTAAAGAAGAAGAAATAGAATTATTAAAGGTATACTACTTATAGGGTAGATAGCCTATTAACTAGATAGGAGAGTAACGTACTAAGTTAAATTATGATAAAGACTATTTCTTAAGGAAGAGTATAGAATATAGAATAGAATAGATATAAGAATCTTTATATAAATAGATTCTATTAATAGATTCTATATTTAAATAGAATCTTTATAGAATCTCTATAGAACTATAGAACCATATGATATCATATAGGTCTATACGATTCTATAGTGAGATCATCACTTATTATTATTGCCACCTATTGCCACTGAAAATCTAGGGATAAATACTCCCTCGATCCTCTGCTAAACAGTTTTGAATCTCAGTTCTGAATTTATTCTTGACTACCCTCTTACTACTATTCACCATCCAAACTTCATTACACTATATAGCTATACTATATAGCTATATATTAGGTCTGTCTAATCACCTAGCTTCCTATACGCTAACTACTTGCTCATAAAGAGAAATCCTACTTCCTTAAGTATTAACTTAAATATAATAGTTTTAGTATAAATAATAATCAAACACGAATCGAGGGGGAAACCATAGCGAAAGGCTACCGTATAGCTAACGTATAGTATATACTATAGATGTAGGCTATATATAGTGTAGCTATCTCGAATCGCTACCGAGGGGTTACCGATTAACCGCCGGTTAGCCACCGCCTTAGCAGAATCCTCGGCCCACGGGTACCTAAGGCTCTAATATTAATATATAAATAGCCTCACTAAATATCATAATACCTTTAGCTAGAGCTACACCCCTTTAGCTAGAGATACACCTCTATACCTAAATCCTTAGGTATTTTTCCCTATTTAGGTTTAGTGTGGTTATATAACCTAATGTTATGAGATTTCTACTAGAATTCTGCTATGGCTATAGCGACACCCCCTTTTTCTACCACTTTTTCTATCACTTTTTCAATATCTTTATACTCGGCTATGTCCATTTCTGATTTACATAGTAAAACTACCATATAAACAATAATTTAAACTACGCCGTTTTGATAGAGAAATCTGCACTAAATTCATATAAATCTAATTACTATTTAGTAGATAGATTTCGTGAAGAGAGAAAGGTATAGAGGGGGAAGGTCCTTATGCGGTAGGAGATAGGGATTAATAAAGTAGGCGGTAAGTAAGCTTTAGTAACCGGTTAATGGCCACGAAGGTAGCCACGAAGGTAGCCACGAAGGTAGTTAGGAAAGCAGTTAGGAAAGTAGTAAGATTTAAGAAAATTAATACCTAAGGTATTAGTTTCTACCATACGCTAAACCTAAATAGGAAATTCTATCTAGAGATTCAGGCATAGGGGTGTATCTCTAGCCAAAGGGGTGTAGCTCTAGCCAAAGGGGTGTAGCTCTAGCCAAAGGGGTGTAGCTCTAGCCAAAGGGGTGTAGCTCTAGCCAAAGGGGCGTCGCCACAGACCGAGGGGGTGTAGCTCTAGCACTACCCTAACTAAGTTAGGTGAAATACGTAAATCAGGCCTTAGGTAAGGATCTCGTCTAGTCCTGTTATCGAATGACCTTCATCGACAGAATCAAGGAAGCCATAAAGGCTAGCCCTGCTTCTGGCCCAGCTACTATCCATACATGACACTCCACTAAACATGAATAACCAGGTATCTGCCTACGCTACTCATTTCCACCGGCCTGTCCGTTCTCAGCATGTATAGTCGCTGATATGGGTATTTTGCAGCATCTCACAGATGAGGCTATCGCGAATACTGAAATTCAAACGTAGTACTTAGTGATTAATGACCGTCATGATTCATTCTCTGAAAATTATGAACCTGGTTCTTGATAGTTTTTGTGAAGCTCAACACCGAGGCTGGCGCGCGATTAACCCCAAAAGTTCGGGCCGTAGCCGAAGGTCCTGCACGGGTTCGGGTTCGGGCTCGGGCCGACGCCGACTCCAGCTCCCCATCACCTGAGAACGGCATCCGGACTTGGATTGTTCATTCTATTTTCCCCAACTCTAGTCACCTCGACCCCACAGTCACTTTCTCCTGAGAATCTGGCATAACAAAACGCCTCAATATGCCATTGTCGGTGGCCCCAAGATTTACGAGCATCGGTCGGCTCATGCGCCTGTCGGGTGCACCTTTCCACAGCCAGTCACACCGCGCACCAGCAGTGTCTGTGCTGTTCCAAGACATTGAGCCACCTGTGATCAATGGTGTTCGAAAGCCTAGAAAGCCAGGTGGTAAGTGAACGGGAAGACCAAGTATGTCAAGGGGAACAATTGAATGCTGATTGAATGAATTTAGGCTACCAAGATTCTGGCGCTGACATTGCTTTCACGCTCCAGTCAAAGGGATTGGCTGTAATCACCCCAGCCACTTCCCCAGATGTCTATAAGCACGAGGGTTGGTGTTTCTCCGATAACGAGGCTGGCATTTGCTCCGCTGTGGACAAGGGGACAACACATCTTTGGGCAAACACTATTTTATTCGAGTCCCACCCTTTACAAAGGTCCGAAAAGTTAACTCCATATGCATCTGATCTCTATGTTGTTGGCCAACCTCCTGCAATGGTTCAGAATTTTGATGACAAGGCCTACCTGAACGGCAAGCTGAGAGAGATTGGTGGCTATACGCTACCCCGCTCATGGCTTGTACAAGGCTCGGCCAATATTGATGAGATCATTGCATCTATTGACCGGTTTCCCGTTGTAGGGAAGCCAATTCGCGGTCGTGGAAGCTACGGCGTCAAAGTTTGCCATAATTCAGTCGAATTAAAGGAGCACATTCTCCAGTTGATCGACGAATCACCGGTCGTCATGGTTGAGGAGTACCTTGCAGGTGAAGAGGCAACTCTAACTATAATGCCGCCATCGCCCGAACGACCAGAATACTGGAGTATGTTTCCAGTCTCGAGATTTAATCATATGGATGGCATCGCACCGTACAACGGCGTAGTAGCCGTTGTGGCGAACTCCCGTGTCGTGACCGATAAGGACATGAAAGATCCTGCTTACCGCAAAATCATGGACGAAGGTGTGAAGGTTGCAGCGCTTATTGGAGCCACTGCGCCTATTCGGATTGATGTGCGGAGATTCAGTGAAAATTCCGAATTCGCTCTCTTTGACATCAACATGAAACCTGTAAGTGCAAATCCCGGAAGGAGCTCAAGATCTCAATGAAAGGAGAGCTAACGGATCTTTAGAATATGACTGGCCCGGGGCGACCAGGGCGGGAGGACCAAGCAAGCTTGACTGCGATGGCAGCGTCTGCGATGGGGTGGGACTACGGCACCCTTTTGCAGAAAATTCTGGCCAGCGCTACTCAGCTGAGTAAATTCCGAGCATACCGCAGCCCCTTCTAGACTGTTGAACATGGTATTTGATTTTGATAAGCGTAATCGCGACATGTACTTGATAGCTTAGTGTTGGATCTTTATAGAGTTTCAGAACCGAGTCAATTTGGAACTGAATGCCGCAGCGTAGTTATCGGTATAGGCATAATAACTTATCAGGAAACTCGAGATCGTGACGGGTTAGGGATTACTTTAGCCGACCGTAATTGCTACTATTTGTCGAAATAGTTCGAGAATTCTAATTTACTACAAAGTCTCTATATATTGCTTTCATTCTCCAAATTATCCACAAAGTATACTTGATTGCATATGACTTTATTGAGACTTTGTTGCTCACACCATTCGTGCCATTGATACCACTGGCGCCGTCGACCCGATCAGCAGGAAAATTCCACCTCCACTCATGCTCCGTGGTGACTTCCAAGTCGTATCGCACCAGGTCTAGACGAAGCTGGTTACTCATAACTCAAAGTCTGTCCTATTTCCAAAGCCTGAATGATTCAGGCTGGGCTGTCCGAAGACCGGCCCGGAAGCCATCGGGGAACAGCCGAGGGCGGTCGGCATCGGCATCCGCTCTCCTACCTTTCCCCGCCACATTCCTCATCGCCTTGTCCACGACGCCGCCATGCGATGCGATGCTATCTTACATGCATAAACCTCTGTGGAGCTAAATAAATAGCTTCGGTCATTGAAACAGCGATCAGGATACTCTTCATATGTCGGATGAGGCGGCTGTCAGATCCGCCGGGTCGCCTGCCCGACGCCGTCCGCTCGCATGTTTGCGATGCCGGCGGCGCAAAGTACGTTGTGACGGGGCTTCCCCAGCCTGCTCCAACTGTACCCGAGCGGGGGCGGAATGTTTCGAAGGACGATCGGAATCTGCAATATCGCGAAGGTAGGTCATTGATGACTCGCACCATCTCTGCGCCGCTGACCAATTGCCGTGCCATGTACGTCCAGTCGACTCCATTATCTAGAAAATAGAGTGCGAGAATTAGAGAGTGGCCAGAGTTCATCAAATACGCACTCCGGAGAGCGGAGCTTGAATTCCGTCGATACGACGAGGTCCCAGTCGGCGGCTTCGATTGAAACTCATGGCGCCGAACCTCGATCCCAACCGCCCCAGCCGAATTGTGTAGCCCCTGATATGCATCAGCATGTGGAGCAACAGAGATCGGCGCTATCTCAACCTTCGGACTTCCCCCTGCCGGCCGCTCGGCGCTTCAGTAGAGACCGAATGCAGCCCTCATTGGGCAACGGAGGTCCTGGCACCAGCGTTTTAATCAACGAGGCAGCCGTGCCATCTCCATCGGGATCAAGCTCTAGCCATATAACGCGTGACCAGCCCATTGTGCATGAAGTGGGTCTTCTATCTCTGGGCAATGCGCTTGATCCCAAATACTTGGGACCATCTTCCGGTGTCACCTTTGCCCGCTTGATTTACGAAAGCGTCCCTCAGTCCCAAGGATTACCCTTATCATTTGCACGGCCTCTGTATCATGACCAGTCCAATGGTGAGGCAGCCGAGAAGCATGGTTCCAACGAATTTCCGCATGTTGAACTCCCATCGATAGCCGAGTATCAACAATACGCAGAGGTCTACTTCAGCATGTCCACATTCTATCCTTTCATTTCACAAGAGGAGTTTCATCTTCTATTTCAACAAGTCTTTCAGTTCAGCAAAACCTCGGTCTGGAATTGCCGCCTTCCGTTAACTATTGCACTTGCACAGGTCTACTTGGTCCTATCTCTTGGTGCCAGGTTCCTGGAATACAAGCTGGGGAACAATTTCCCGTCTCAGGATTTGTTCGGCCAAGGCATGAACTTTGCCTCCAAAATGAACTTACACGAAAGTGTCGAAGGTGTTCAAATACTTCTCTTACTGGCACAACATAGTTTATTTTGCCCAGAAGGGTTGAATGCGTGGTACCTAGTGCATACCATTATTGCGAGCTGCTTGGACCTAGGTCTACAACGGCAAGATAACTGTTCGTCTCTCGCCCGTTTGCATGGAATAACACTAAGGTGTGCATTTACTGACAGAATTCCAGATGACTGGCGGAATGACACGCCAAGCCAACGTAAGATTCGAGATCTTCGCAGCGCAATCTTCTGGTCTGCGTATTCTATGGATCGAACTCTCACCGTGATCCTCGGTCGTCCTCTTACACTCAGAGATGAGGCTATTGACCGCGGATTCCCGGGATTTGATGGCAACTTGGAGGTAGAATCAGGAGCGACAGAATGGAAATCATCCAATTCGGCCAGCCAAGGCTCAGTCTCAGTCTCAGCGCCAGAACCTTATACCGCATTCATCTATTCTCTTCGGTTCGATCGCATCATTGCAGAAGTAAAATTGATGCTCTATCGAGTTTCGCGATCACCGAAGCGGTTTCCCTGGCCGCAAGACTTGAGCCTATGGCGACAGGAAGCCCAGGATTCCTGCGTTGCGCTCTTGAGAGAAGCCCAGAGCCATCAACAAAACCATATCATTGGCTCTGCTGGTGCTCTCTCGGTGGTTGCGCTTCAACGACTTGAACTGAAATACCACCAGTGTATTATGCTTCTCAATCGTCCAAGTCCCCAAATTCCTCATCCAAGCTTTGAGGCCACTCAGGCAAGCTTCGCAAGTGCCATGGGCATTATCGCCACCTATGCCGACCTCCAAAGATTTTCGAACATGGATTTTTCTTGGCTTACGGCTCATTCCATTTTCGTTGCTTCAATCACGGTGATCTACTACTTATGGTTCTGCCCACTTGTTCGAGGAAATGACCCATTAGATGCTTGTCTACATCGCGTTGAACAGGCTCACCAACTACTCACGATACTGGGCAGGTCCTGGTCAGTGGCACTGAAAGCAAGTGGCAAGTTGGAGAAACTGATCAAATCCACGAAAGATCACTACGAAGGAATGGCGGGGGCACGGGCTCCTCCTTTTGGAGACTGGGCGGATGGAAACCCCGGAATCGCCCCGAGGACAGATGCAGAATTGGATCGATCAGCCACCAGTATGCCCTTGCCTGACGTGGGAAACGTCCTGATCGATGAGCTTGGAATCCTGCGGGATCTATTCGATCTGGGCTGGTTGGAAGATTTCTCAGACAATCAACACCAGCCGTCGTTTGGGGGTCTTATGGATCTGAGATGAATACACCACCTGCGTAAAAGTCTGTGTGCATTAGCCCCACTACCCATTACCCCAACAACCACCTACAATCTTGTTTTTCTTCCTACACCACGACCCATGGCTCCGATCGCTATACAAATTGGTGCAAATCGTAGCCAAGGGGCTGAGCTTTCGGCTGAGCAGCGTACTGCAATTATATACGCTCTGGAAAATAGACTTTCTAGCCAGGCTAAGTTAGCTAAAGAATTTAGTTACCATCATAATATAATAGCTAACACCTTTAAGCGCTGGTAGGAACGTAACAATATATGACCTCGCCCTCGTAGCGGTCGACCGCCTAAATTTCATACCTAATTACGCCGTTTAATTAATATGTTTACCAGCCGGAAGCCTTTGTGGTCCTATCGTACCCTAGTAAATAGGGCGAGAAACGAAAAGTACTATACGCTATTATTTATTCTTAATATAGGGGAATAGGAGCTAATAAATAGCCGCTACTAGATTATAGATTATATTAAGAAGGGTATTCTTCTATAGCTCTTAGATCGCGATAATACTTACTTCTCTTACTTCTCTCTCTCTTAGAAATATAGCTATAGTATCCTATAATTATATAGTATTATATTAGATAATTATAAAGGATTTTATTAATAAGATAATAGGTTTTAGGTTTTATTAGAGAAGCCTTCTTAGTAGTCCTTATCTATCTCTATCCGTATAGATAAGAAAGACTTATTATCTATCTTAGAGATAGTTAGATTTCTTATATAATTAGGCTATATAAAAGAGAGATGTCAGACGGTTAGCTATATAGCCGGTAGTTTGAATTCTTATATAGATATAAAGATATCTAACTATAGTAGCTATAGGAACTTATTAGAGAGATCTTACTTATAGTTATTATTATTACTAGCCAGTATATCTAGCCTGATATTAGCTATAGCTATCTTATTCTACTATTCTATATAGGGATTTATTAACCGCACTATAAAAACGATAACCGCACTGTATGCTAGGCCTAATTAGTAACGCCATTAAAAAGTAACCTTCGACACTTTCAAAATTCCTACTAAGCCTCTATATATATATATTCCTATATATAAGCGCTTCTCGCGGATACCCTCTATATCTACCGCTACTTAATTATATGATATGGATATTATATAACTTAGAACTTCTATTTATAATAATAACCTATATACTAACTTCCTCCTATATACTACTCCTATATACTACTCCTATATACTACTCCTATATACTACTCCTATATACTACTCCTATATACTACTCCTATATACTATATTACTTTCTACCCCCCTAGTTTAATAAAATAAGATCCTAAGACTATCTAGGAGCCTAAGGATCCTCTAGAGCCTAAGGTATCTATCTAGCTAAGGCCCGGAGCTATAGTAGAGTTGTCCGTCTATTCTACTATCTTTAGTTCACGTACGGCCTATATAGGCCCGGTCCGCTTATAATATATATGAAGTCCTATAGGAGCTAACGAATAGAACTTAATATACCCTTTTAACCCTTCTTAGATTATATATAGTAGTAAACCTCTAATAAAGACCGGCCCTTTATAGTGGCCTAACTAAGAGAAAGCTTATAATCCTTTAAGGCCCCTCCTAGAAAACGATCCCTTAATCTACTTAATCAAAGAGCGTAGGTTAGCTTTAGGACAAAACTTAAAGATAGTATTAGTAATAGCTATCCTAGTCTCTAGATCGTTACTAGCGAGACTAATCTATTATAAGTAATAGAAGTACGAAAACTCTAGAAGATACCTAGACGTAGATAATCGTCCTAACCCTAAAAACCTATGTATCGTACGCCGTATTTAAGAAAAAACTTAAACAAACCTTCGGCGACATCGATACTATCCGTAGCGCTAAACGACGCCTACGACGACTTAAGCAAACTAGATCGGCTAGTACGTACGCCGCCGACTTCTAATAGATTATCTCCTACCTAGACTAGGATAAGGACGCCTACATCGCTATCTTCGAGGATAGCCTGAAGGACGACGTTAAGGACGAGTTAGTCCGGATCGACCGACCTAAGACTATTAGCGAAATAATCGAAACATCGGTCCGTATTAATAACCGATTATACGAACGATACCTCTAACGTAAGGAAACCCGCTAGTAGAGAAGCTAAGGATAGCGATCCTTCGGATATACCCGCCGCTACGAGGGCCGGCGAGGGCAGAGATAACAGCCTAGGGAGTATAGCGACCCCTATAGACCACGACCTATAGAGCTCGACGTAGCGAGACTCCCTACCGAAGAAGAAAAACGGCGTAAGGACAATAACTTATGCTTTAAATATAGAAAAGTAGGATATCGGGCGCGTGAGTGTAATAATAAGCGTAATAACGCGAAGCTATAGGCGCGTAAGCGTAATAATAGACGTAATAACACAAAGCTATAATAGCTACGGGCCACTAACGATCAAGAATGGATGGTAATATAGGATGAGAAATCTAAGGAGTAACTTAGGGCCACCTAAGAAGGGGCTAAGCGCCTAAAGGATACGATTACTAGGGTAACTCTAGACGAGTACGAGCACCTAAAGGACTAGGTCACTAAGTAGGCTATAGAGGAACTACTAGTTAGAAAAGAACCTAGGGTTAAATAACTACGTATTACGACTACGTAGCTAGATAAAGAATACCGCGGCCTAAATAGCGTAGCGTACGCGAAGGAAGGGTCTCCTAAAGAAGAGAAGAATATCGAGAGTTAAGGATAGACCTAGTACGGTCCCTAGAATACTATCGACTCCTAGGAACTATCCGACGATTCCTAAGGATAGGGTATAGGGATCCTAAAGATACTAATCGAGATTCTAGGAACCCCGGAGATCCTAGAAACTCTACCCTAGTTCCCGGAAACGGATACGACTAAATAGCCTTAAGAGAACCCTATAGATAATCTAATTATTAAATATTTAAATTAGATTCACTAGGTATAAGGGCTTATTAAGACTAATCTCTTATCTACTAAGATACTATAAGAGCTTAGTAATATACTTAATAACCTCTAAGGAATTAGTAGCGGGATACGCGAATAATAGTAATACCCCTACTATAGTAATAAATATTCGTGTAGAGGATACGTACGTCACCCCGATCACGGTCTTAGAACCGTATTAGCGTATTACGATAATAACTATATAATATATTACTAAGGAAAAATCGAAAGAAGCCTAGAACCTAAGCCGCTAAGCTAGGAAAAGAAACTAAACTAAAAGCTAGAATACGCGGGACTCTAGTTCGGAAACCGGAGGATAAACGAATAACACCTTATAGCTACTATATAGGGCGCGTACGTAAAGATTTTTGCTAATATCGCGCTTCGACTAACTAAAGTAATAATCGACTCGGGAGCGGTAGGAAACTTTATAAGCCTACGATATAAACGGTAATATAAGATTAAAGGTATAGAGAAACCGTAAATAGTACCTTTAATCGGGCTTAACGGAGAGAGCCTAGGGCCGGGTATTATATACGAGAGTAGACTACTACTAATAATTATTAGAGACTATTTCGAAGTTATTAACTTCGATATTACTCTACTAGGTATATACGACGTTATACTAGGAGTACTATAGCTAAGGAAGTATAACCTAGCTATCGATTAGTAGGTTAGAAATATAGTCTTCGATAGATACTCGTATCGATAGACTAGCGAAGTATAGACTAGAAAGATCGAGCCGATACCGCTAAAGAGACCTAGTACTAGGGAAGTAGGTACTTATAAGATCCCTTACGAAGGAAATTACGAAAGGAGTTCTCGGCTAGGAGGTAGGCCTAATAAACGAGTAAGCGATATTACCGATATTGTTAATAAGGAATAACGATTAGATATAACGGACGAAGAACTTAAGGAATACATTCTCGTTAACGACGACGTAACTACCCTCTATATAATAGGATTACTAGAGGAAGAATATAAGATTCCTAAGGAATATAAGGAATTCTAGGATATATTTATACTACTACCGGACGGTAAGCTACTAGAATATAGTCCGTTTAACCACGAGATTAAGATTAAGGATAGCTAAGAACTAAAGTTTATACTAATCTACCTACTATCGTAGAAGGAATTAGCGGTATTAGACGAATATATTAAGGAAAACCTTAAAAAGGGCAATATTTAATACTCGAAGTTATTAGTAGGATACCTAATTCTATTTATACCTAAGAAGGGAGGAGAACTTAGGATATACGTTAACTACCGATAGCTTAACGATATTACTATTAAGGACCGGTATCTACTACCTTTAATTAACGAAATTCAAGATATTATTTAGGGAGTAAAATACTTTAGTAAGTACGATATTACTAATATATATAACCGACTTAGAATTAAGGAAGAAGACGAATAGAAAATAGTATTTAGGACTAAGTTTAGATATTTCGAATATAAGGTTATACTATTCGGTCTTACTAACGTACTAGTATTATTTTAACGATTTATCTTCTATATTTTAAACGGATACCTCGATAAGTTCGCTATCGCGTACCTCGATAATATCCTCGTGTTTTTAAGGACTAAGGAAGAATATATCTAGTATAATAAAATAGTGCTATAACGGTTAAGAGAAGTAAAGGTTATACTTAAACTTAAGAAATATAAATTCCACGTTTAGAACACTAGTTTTCTCGGATATACTATTAGTCCGGACGGACTAGGGATAGAGGAAGATAAAGTTAGGAGTATCCTCGAATAGCTAACACTAACGTACGTTAAAGACGTATAGAGCTTTCTCGGACTAACTAACTACTATCGAAAATTAGTACTATAATACTCGAAATATATAGTAGGACTCTACCGATTCACTAAGAAAGGAGTACCGTTTAAATAGAACGAAGAAGTAGAAAGATCGTTTACTATACTTAAGGAAATATATAATAAGAAAGTAGGAGAAGCTATTATTACGATATTTAACTACGATTCACCGATTATTATCGAAACCGACGCGTCAGACTTCGCGCTCGGCGTATAGCTTTTATAACTAGGGAAGGACGGTAAGCTTAGACCTATCGCTTTCTAGTCTCGTAAGATAATCCTAGTAGAACTTAACTACGATATCTACGATAAGGAACTACTAGCTATAGTATTAGCATTCTAGATATAGAGGGTATACCTAGAAGGAGCTAAGTATACTATAACGGTTAGAACGGACCACTATAACTTAACCTACTTTACGATAATAAAGAAACTTATACGACGATAAGCTAGATATATAGAAACGCTAGTATAGTACGATTTTAAGATTATATACT